AAACTTTTGTATTAGTTCTGATAAACTTAGCACTTATCGTTCCAGGTTCCGAATTGATAGATTACATTTTGTTTAAATAGTTTGTTTATATCTCATTCATCTTAAGCCAAACTTAAGACTCAAGTTTACTAGCACTTCAAAACGACTTCCAGCCCATTTCTTTTAACTCAAATGATTCATCTAAATAAGATTACATAAAGGTAATTGCATCGGTCCAAACGTATGTCTATTAAAGAGTGTAATTTGAACATGATTACAACTACGCTATTCTACACTTAGATGGTAAATCTAATTACTTAAGAACTCAACGTTTAATTTCAATATTACATGAGAAAACTTCTTAACACGACTAGGTTGAATTGCTCGAAAAAATTGCGTAATATTGGATTTGTTGCTCAATAAATATTGCTAAAAAAGATTAGTTGAGAGTATATGCATAGATAAGAACGACATTTTATGTTTCAATGACAGATGAAACGTTGCCGCCGAACCTGGATGTACTGGCATTTGGAACAGGGACAACTGATCAACTAGTCAACTTTCCACTGCCCACGCTGACATTTTCAAGCATGGGAGTTCAAGCAAAATCAACTGAAAATGATAGGATTTGGATGGCTGAAGAACCCAGTACTTTACTTGGACAATCCAGTGCTCATAGTCTACAACGTCAGGCAGTAGCAATCCTCAAAAAGGCAGGACTTACATCAGAAGGAATCAAAGCGTGAGTTTAATTCATAAAAGCCAATAATAGGCTGGTAAATATGGTTCTGACATACTTCTTTAGTGTTCTCATCAAACTGTTTTGATGCGGAGCAGAAACACATGTGGCTATAGTGTACTTTCTAATTAGTCGTCTCACGGCTACTAAAATATTGGAGGATGTAAAATTCCAGCAGTTTAAAATTTTACTGAATTGAAAGAGAGTCTTATCACGATAAATTAAAGAGAAGGTTTGATTTTGTTTTGAATTAAACTATACATGTACCCAAATATCAGTTTTACTTAGCTTCTTAGTCAACATGAATTGCTGCTTAATAAGCGCTTGGTATGATTTCATCTCTTGTGTGATAGATTTTTGTATCCACCAACCTGGGTGTCATTAAATTTGATTCTTTGTGGAATTCTGGCTAGTAATTGGTTGTTTCGAGGCTTTCTACCTGCATATCCGCACGTCGATGTGTATCCTGACTAGACCTAGAAATAGTTTAAACATTA